TGGCACATTTTAGTCATTTATTTCTCATACACATTAATCACTTATTGTTAAATCAGAATGTAGTGTTTGTGAATGACTCATTAATTAAAGTTATTATATATTATAATTACCAGCCAACCTGATTTTTAAAACGCCAATATTATATCGAAAGAACAAGGTAAATGAGAAAAATATTTTAAAAAATGTTTTAAATGAACACTTATTTATTTACTTTTTTTATTTTATTATAAATAATAAAAAATAACAAAAATAAAATCAATAAAATAAAATAAATTAACTAAAAAATGACAAGGTTTCCAGGTACATTTTTAAACTATTACTAGGGTTATAGTTTCCTAGCCAACCAGGAATAATTATTGATCAATACAGATGATCTCAAAATAGCCAAATCTAATCTTATTAATACTCACCATAAACAAAGAGGTAAAATGTAGCGCTGACCTTTTCCTCCCCGATATTATTCATTTCCACAGTGTATGTACCATTATAACGAAGCGACACGTTCATGAAGGTGAGGGATCCATTGAGTTCTGGTTTAAAAACGCCTGAAGCAACACCTGAAAGCGAGCTGTTACCAGCGGTCCATTTGGCAACCAGAAGGCTTCCCTTAAACCACATGACCTCAGGATGAGGGACACCAGCATGAGACACACTAAGGGTCACATTGGTGCCCACAAGAGTTTCAACGGATACGGGTCCCTTGGGTGAGATGCTCAGATAACATACATTACCTACGAAAGAGGAGGAAAAAGCAATAACTGATCATGCAAAACTCTCAATTTTAAGGTGGCTGCAAGCATGCAAAAAGAGCATCTATGATTTTCTGGCCTCTAAATATGGCTTGAGATCAGTTCACTCTACACTGTGAAAAATGACCGTGAATTTAACGGTAAAAGACTGTAAAAATGCTACAGTAAAAACCTGTTAAATGGTTAACGGTAAATTCCCCTACTATATACGGTGAAAAACTGTATTGGACATTACATGTATTGGACATACATTTTACAGTAGTATACCGTTTTTGGAAGTGAAAAATACCGTATAATTTACAGTGAATAACCGTAGATTGACATTCCCAGAATTCCCTACGTTACATTTCAACTTTGATGTTATTTTGTTGAAATAACTATGTTTCTTTAGTTGTTTCTTATCAGTTTTGTATATTAGGGTTGTGTGTTACACCTAATGTTGTTAAATGAATGTTTATTGCATGATTTCAGTTTCATGTGTGTTACCGTGATGGTGTTTAGTGTTTGTGTGAATGTGTGTCACTGTGCACCTTCTATATGTGTTATTATTTAAAAGCTGCTTGTGATGGGTGACATTCCCAGAATTCCCTGCGTTACATTTCAAATTTGGTGTTTTTTTTGTTGAAATAACTATGTTTCTTTAGTTGTTTCTTATCAGTTTTGTATATTAGGGTTGTGTGTTACACCTAATGTTGTTAAATGAATGTTTATTGCATGATTTCAGTTTCATGTGTGTTACCGTGATGGTGTTTAGTGTTTGTGTGAATGACACTGTGCACCTTCTATAGAAGTTATTATTTAAAAGCTGCTTGTGATGGGCTTCATCACCACCTGCATTTGGTGTTTATCAGTGTACTACAAAGGTACAAACCAGATTTCAGTACTTCAATAGGTTGGTATATTAACATTTTATCAGTTAATGAAATTACGGTATTTAACTGTAAATTTAAGTTAAAACCGTAAAACCTCAAATGTTGCTACCGTATTTTTTATGGTAAAATTCCGGCAACCTCAGCTGTCGGTTTTTTTACCGTAATTTTTTTTTTTACAGTGTACAGATTAACCCTGGCAGGATTTCAATCGACAACATTTACATCTTATTACTTTAATCACTACATGCAAATATGATTTTTATGTTATACCAAAAGTGGGTACACAAATTATCTAGATGTTACCTAAATAACTGTATTAAGATATTATTATAAAGATATTAGAGTGGAATTCATGAACTTTGTCGAAAATGAAATAAACCAAAAGGCTTCAAACATAGATTGATAACATTTTACAATAAGGTTTCATTTGTTAACACGAACTTACAGCATTTATTAATCTTAGTTAATATTAAGTTCAACATTTACTAATGCATTATTAAAATCCAAAGTTGTATGTATTCTATAACAAGAAATTTCATGAACTTTGTCGAAAATGAAATAAACCAAAAGGCTTCAAACATAGATTGATAACATTTTACAATAAGGTTTCATTTGTTAACACGAACTTACAGCATTTATTAATCTGAGTTAATATTAAGTTCAACATTTACTAATGCATTATTAAAATCCAAAGTTGTATGTATTCTATAACAAGAACATTTTTTGATCAACTAACATGAACAACTTTTAATAAATGCTGCAAAAACATATTGTTCAGTGTTAGTTCATGTTAGTTAACGCATTCATGTTAACAAATGAGATCTTATTGTAAAGTTTTAGCCATAAATTGAATTGATCTGTGACTGAAAAGTTTTGTCTGAGGTGTTAGAAGGCAATAGTAATATTTCTGATCCTTTTCTTTATTAAGTTGCTTTTTAAGAACAGAAACTATTGAAAAACTGACATAATTATCATATCACACCACATACTTAATAAGGATCCTTCAAAGAATCTTAAGCTTTTACATGTAATTTTAATGCAAATAATTGAGTCTTTTTCAGTTTTTGTAACACCTATGACATTATAGTAGTAGTAAAAAAATTAACTTTTTTTACTCAGAGTTATGTTAAAGTCAGTAATTCACCATAAAATGAATAACAATTTTATATTAAACGGTATATATGTATAGATTTGATTTTACTTACCTGTAATGAAGAACAAAAAAAGAACACAAATCAAACTAAACAGCGTCTGCATGTCGCCAAACTCAAACTAAACCTGTAGGTCTGTCAGAGCTTTAATTTTGAAGATGAAATCATATTCCTCTGATGATGAACAGGTGCGAAATCACTCAACATCGCTGAGAAATGTTCCCCAACTCCTCCGTACAGGTGAGCTTTACCTGGACAAAACATCCCATCAGTCACTTCAGAGCAATGAATAACATATATAATCAGAAATACACATGCTGATTTTGATTTCACATACAAAAGAAGTTCGCAGAACACCGTGAAGAAGTAGGAGTGGGCGGGGCTTAGTGTCCTGATTTTAAAGGGATAGTTGGTTAACTCCAGATTTAGCCATTATTTACTTGTTCCAAACCTGTATGACACAACGTTCACGGTAATTGCATAATTTAGTAAAATTACTTAAACGTAATTGTGTTTCACTGTAGAAAGTATGAAACATGCAGCTTTAGAACAACGCGATGGTGAGAAAATAATGACAGAATTTTTTGATGAAATATTCATATAAATAAAAACTGTGACACATTGAACTGCACACACGAAAAAGTCTTATACATACTATAGTGATTGAGGCAGCAGATTCCCTCTTTTATGTCAGGTAACAATCTGAGCAATTATTAGACTTAAGAGTTCTTAATAAGACTTACAATGAAGACAAAACAAAGAATTCATAAACAATAAAAAAAATCAAGATTTCTTATTTTAATTCACCCCTTCAATCAATATATGAAGGAAGCCTAATGTTAAAAGTGTGATTTCTAGACCTGTAAAAGTCAGGTCAATTATTAAAATCTCAATGGAGATTTTATATTTTTTTAAATATTAAAAAGAAAATATTTTATAGAGTACAAAATATTTGTAAAAAAAAAAATCATTGTACAGTAAAGCAGGAACAATTGAAAAAGTCACGAGGCCTTTAAATATTGCTGTAGAAAATGGAGTAAAAAAAATTGAGAACCTATGACTGAAAAAACTAATTTTTTAAATATATATATAAAGTTTTTTTCAGTATATATATATAAACACACACATATATATATATTGAAGCTTTTTCTTCTCATTCAGTGCTGAGATTATAAAAACTGTCTTCAGAATGCCTTTGAAGAGTAATCAGACGAGATGAGATGAGAGAGATGAGAGATAAAAAAAGAGAAGTGACCCACTGTGTCTTCATTCAGCAGAGCCCGCATGGTTCCCAGCACTGCCTTTGTTTATCAGTAAACCAGACTGGTGGCACATGACAACACTCTGGACATCTCTGTGTTTCCAAAATCATATCCCCACACAACAGGTTAGACAAGCTCAGATCCTGACATCTTGAAATGGACAAGTACACGTTGCCCATTACAACAGAGTTGATCTTCTCTGTTGGAAATGGGATAGCGAACAGTATTTTAACATTGCAAACATGACCCTGCAGCTTTAAGAGTGGAAAAACAACATCAAGATTAAAAAAAAAAAAAAAACATTGCACAGATCACCCCCTCCCCCTCAAATATTAATGAGGCAAAAAAAACAAAACAATAATATGCATATGAAAAAGACAACTTTTTATTGTCATCAAATGATACTGTACAATCAGGACTCATTCAGAGGCGCTTGTGGTAACGTGATTTACTCTTGTTATGCTGAGAGACACTGTCCTGTTAAAACTTTAAACAACATAACTAAACTACACTGATAACAGCTTTTTAATTACACAATAAATGACAGGAATCACAGAAAAGGCTCGTTCAGTTTTGATTTTGAGTGAATGTATCAATGAAACAAACTTAATGGCTTATTAGTGCATTCAAAACGTTCCCTACAATATTGATGTACTTTGTCTTGAAATGCACTGAAAAACTGTTGAGGCCTTGTGGGGACGGATGGCTGTTGATGGAGCAGTGTCTCTCAGCATCCACATGAACATCCACAGAGGAGCAGGTACTACATCAGGGCTGTCCAAACTCGGTCCTGGAGGGCCGGTGTCCTGCAGAGTTTAGCTCCAACCCTAATTAAACACACCTGAACCAGCTAATCAAGCTCTTACTAGGCATAGAAACTTCCAGTCAGGTGTGTTGAGGCAAGTTGGAGCTAAACTCTGCAGGACACCGGCCCTCCAGGACCGAGTTTGGACAGCCCTGTACTACATGATCTACATGGGTCCGGTCTGGATTTGTGACGGGGCCGAACCACTTTACTGGCCTCAAAGTTTGCTCCATCACCAGTGATGAAAGACCTATAGAAGAAAACAAGACAGAAGAATATGTGAATTATAGATCTCTGAATCTTAAAAAGAAAATGCTGCTTATATGCAAAAAAGGCATAATATTACATAATTGATCATTTATTAAATATATATTGCGCAGTTCAAAAATATCAAAACATCTGTAAAATATTATTAAAACTTCCCATCACTTACAGTTTTTTTTCACGAAATAAGATTTTTTTTTTTCAAATTATATATATATATATATGTATCAGCTTTAATGCACTTAAAAGCAGTCAAATGTAGTAAACTGTAACATTTTAATGTCAAAGTAGTATTCAAAATGTGTCATTTAACTTACGATCTGCAAAGGAGTGGAAAAAGTGGAAATCAGGATTAGGCATAAAATAATTAATGCATGTGAAAATGGGCTGAGACCTGAACCAACAGTTCAGAAATCATGTCTTTTCACCTGATTAAGTGATAATACAATATACAGAGTTTTGTAAAAATCGACGCGTTTCAGAAAGACGGGGCATAGAGGATAAACAATAATGTACAGTATGTGGAAAATAATGTGTTTTTTTAACCTTAAACCGCATAAACACATTTCATTACACCAAATACACAAAATAATGTTCTTTTTAGCAGCATCATATGACCCCTTTAATGGTAACTTTATTGAATCCAATAGGGGGCGACGTTTTGCATATTAAATGCAATATCTTTTTCAAGGCCTCACGTTTTGTTTCATTTCATTTATATGTGCAAATCATTTTTGAGAAATGTCATTGATTGCATTTAACAATCACATTATATTCTTACCTCCAGTGTTAGTCTGCACTGCCCCTCCTGCATCTGCTTCCTCTAGATTCTTCCAGCCTCTTTCAGTTTTCCCACCAGATCATTGACCGTCTCCACTTTGACTCCAGCTTGTCTCTGAGGAGGTTCATCCACCTTCAGCACCTCCAGCCGTGAGCTCACATCCACTCCCAGATCTGCAGGCTTCACATTCTCGATCTTCTTTTTCTTCGCTTTCTACAGGGGCACAAAAATGCTTAAACATGCCTTATTGTTTTCCCTGCTGTCCACTTATGTTGGTCAAGGTTTCTTCATGAAAAGCAGTTGCAGTTTAGTATTATAAGACGTTTTTTCCTTCGAAATTTAAATAATGCTTTCATTAAATAGTGATCCCACGGCAAAAGTGCCAGTAAAATGAATAAAAACCACCAAAGAACAACAAAAACATCTCTGTTCACATCACAGACTTGTCATTGACAAATTGACATACCCTAGCGGTAAAAAGTTTGAATAATTACATTTTTAAAATGTTTTTGAAAGTAGTCTCTTCTGCTCACCAAGGCTGCAGTTATTTGAACAAAAATACAGTCAAATCAGTAATATTGTGAAATATTATCATTATTCCAAATGAAATGTTTTCTCATTTCGCATCATTACTCCAGTCTTCAGTGTCACATGATCTTCGAGAAATCATTCTAATATGCTGATTATGCTCAATTTTTATTGGTGCTCAATTATTAATGCTGGTTCTTATTATTATCAATGTTGAAAACAGTTGCTTAATACTTTTGTGTGGAAACCATGATGCTTTGATGAATAGAAAGTTAAGCAGCATTTATTTGAAATAAATTTTTTTTAGTAAAATTATAAACGACTTCACCGGCACTTTTGATTAATTTAATGTATCCTTGCTGAATACAAATATTTAGTAAAAAAAAAAAAAAAGATTATACCACAAACATCTGAATAATACGGTTTCACAGTTTCCACAAAAGTGAAGCAAAAACTGATAATGATAATGTCTCTTGAGCAGCAAATCAGCATATTAGAATGATTTCTGAACATCATGTGACACTGAAGACTGGAGTAATTATGCAAAAAATTCAGCTCTGCATCACTGTAATAAATTATATTTTACAATATATTGAAATAGAAAACTGTTATTTTAAATTGTAATAATAATCTACAATATTACTGTTTTTACAGTATTGTTAATCAAATAAATGCAGCCTTGTTGAGCAGAAAAGACTTCTTTTGAAAACATTAAGAAAAGAAACGTAATTTTTTACTGACTTTTTACTGGTAGTGTATTTACATATATGAATCTGGCCGACGTTTTTATCCAATGCGACTTATATTGCATTCAAGCTATACATTTGATCAGTTCATGCATTCCCTGGGAATCAAACTCATGACCTCAGAGTCACTAGTGCAAAAAATGTACTGTAATCATTGGTGATGTGCAGTGTGGCATTACAGTACCATGATGTTGGGCAGTGTGGCGTATCTGGGAGTGTTGAGACGGAGATCAGCGGTCACCACGGCTGGCAATTTGATCTTAATGGTCTCCAAACCACCATCAACTTCTCTCACCACCTTCAGCTTGTCTGCTTCTATGCTCACCTCAGATGCAAAGGTTCCCTAAAAAAAAGATAAAACAATAACCCATTAATAGTTTAATTTGGGAGTCACTATCCCCAACTCAGACAACAAACAGAAGTGACATAACAGGCAGCGAAAACATCAATTTAGACTCCATTTCAACATCTTCTGAAGAACTCTGCCCATGCAAAAAAAAATGCTAGGGTGCTCAAATCCATAGTAATAGTGATGCTTTTCTTCTCAAGCATCACTACATATACTGATGGGACGAAGATGTCTGACCTGCGGCCAGTCCAGCAACGCTGCTGTCATCTGTCCAGTTTGATTGCAGTCATCATCTATGGCCTACATGAGAAATATTACCACAATATCATGAAACCCATTGATGAATATTCAGCGATTTGCTATCATTGTGGCATAATAAACAATCAGCTACCTGTTTACCCAGAATGATCAGATCGGCTTGCTCTTTCTTAGCGAGAGCAGCCAAAATCTTGGAGACCTGCAGGGGACCAAGCGTCTCGTAGTCCTTTCCGGACACTTCCACGTGTATGCCACGGTCCGCACCCATGGCCAGAGCCGTCCGGATCGTCTCCTACAACACAGATATTACTGTAAGGATGCTGATTAATGATTAACAGCCATTTATTAATACGGAGTGTCTATTTACACTAAGTGCAAATGGCCACCTTGTTGGCAGAGGCTACTTACACTAACTCCGCCCACCAACGTGTGATTGGACTAGTCAACATTACAGAAAGTCCTGCTATTTTAACATGGTGTAAATAGAACCTGTAGCTATTTGCACTTAGTGTAAATCGCATACCGCTAAAAATACAGCTATTTTCACTTAGTGTAAATAGCATCCATCGCTATTTGCATTTAGTGTAAATAGCATCTATCGCTAAGAAAATATGCTATTTTCACTTAGTGTAAAAAGCATTTAATTGCAAATAGCCTCTGCCTAATACTATTTCCTCACATAGTAAATGAACAAAGACATAAAACTGTTTACTGTTGAACAAGCTGCCATTTTAGTTGTTTTTATACGACATCACAATAGTCAAGTTGGAGATTTCTTTATTTATAATCATTTTTGAAAGAAGTCTCTTCTTCGCGCCAAGGCTGCATTTATTTGATCACAAAATATGGTAAAAACAGCAATACTGTGAAATATTATTACAATTTAAAATAACGGTTTTCTATTTGAATACATGTTAAAATGTAATGTATTCCTGTGATATTCCCATTACTCCAGTCTTCAGTGTCACATGATCCTTCAGAAATTATTCTAATATGCTGATTTGCTGCTCAAAAAGTATTTCTTGTTATTATCAATGTTGAAAACAGTTGTGCCGCTTCATATTTTTGTGGAAACTGTGATACATTTCTGATGAACAAATGAATAGAAGAACAGCATTTACATATCCAATTAATATACTATCTACTGTAGATATTTATTATTACTAATTAAAGATCCTGTATTTTTCACATAGCCTACATGTGAATGAGACCTCTCCTACACATCGTTTATTTTTTTACAATGACTAATTTTCCTCAGTTTTGGCATCTTTTCAAATCACAACCAACAACTTTAATTAGTGTCCCTCACCAAAACAGTTCAAAGTTAGCATCCTTCACCAAGAAGAATCATCCGCGAACTTGAGTATTTCTTACCTGAACCTGCTGAGGACCACAGCTGACGGCCACGACCTCCTTAACAAGCTTCTTCTCCTTGAGTTTGACGGCCTCCTCCACCGCAATCTCACAGAAAGGGTTCATCGAATGCTTGACGCCGTCTGTAACCACTCCTGTGTGGTCAGGCTTGACTCGGATCTGAGGTAGACAGAGACAATAGAGAGATGGTGCTGAAACTTCAAGAACATGGAGAAAAGATGCATCACATGCCTTTTCATTTTTACAAAGTACAATGAAAAGCGAGCTGCGCGGCGCGACACAACAAAATACATGTATGGACTGGACAGTGACTTTCACAAGGCTGAATTGGAGGTTGTCCAAAAACATTCACTGCCTCTCGTATTTAAGTAAGAGGCAACATGTTTAACCTCAGATGACCTGTGCATACTATGCCAAGGGTGGGATGCAGGACACAGACCGATTATGATACCATGAAGGCCATTTCATAATCCACGGCATGCAGACAACACAGACTGATCCGTCTGTAACCCAACAGCTGATATTAGCAGTACTGAGGCAGGCCACATACTCCCAGATCAATATCCCTTACTTTCTGGATCATAACTGAACCAGCTCAGAGGTTTCATCACCTTAATTCACATCTACACTGAACATATCCAGCTCACTGGAATGTGTTAGAAACTGCTTTGAAGAGATCATAATGAGATAGATTTGGGATATTTGACATGGTATTGATAGCCAGCCTGATCAATATGACCTGACAATCAATGAATTACAACATAGTAACTCATCTGTTATCGGATTAGCCTACTTAATAATGGACAAAACAGAAGCGCACAAGACCAAAGCAGCAAAAATTTGTATTTGGGTCACATGTTGACAAATGCAGTGCAATTAATTCTTAAAAAAATAGCAAATGCTCTAAAACGGCAACTTGCATGATCTTATAATTCATATTTACAACTATTTTTGTTATAAGAGCTTTTTTTTTACTTTAGTTTATTGATTACTTTACATAAAAGGCTTGCTCGAATAATGATAACTATAGTTGAAGATCTGCATATATAAACAGAAATATTTCATATGAAAATATGAGAAACCAACTCGTCTCAACCACGACATTTCTAAGTACTGTTGCTGCTTGTCTTCATTTAATACATCTAAAAATGATGACAGCATGCCATTTTCTCGCATAATAAATATAAATCTGAACATGCAGTCATGCACATATATAAAATTGCTTAATGCATTTACATAAGACAATAGAAGGAACAAGCAATATTAGCAATGTAAACTTTAATGCTAACTAAATGTGAAAACAATCAAAAACACGTTATTTTAGTATTTCCAGCTATCTCATATTAAAAGATGACTTTACATTTCATTTTTTAACATTATCAAATGTATTGTGTCACAGAACCCACATTCATATGCATGTTTATACAACTACAACTGAACACAGCTCGTTATTATTAAGATTGCACGGCCATAATTGTACGGAGTTTGGATCGAATTCATCAGATATGATTATGAATTAAAACTACAATAATAACAACAACACTGACCTTCATCAAACAATCCAGTTTACATGTCTAACCTCATTCAGCAGAACAGCTGGCCTACAGGCAGCTCTTTACCATCTAAAACAGGGCAACTCCGTGTTTGTTCATAATTAAAAGCATCTGTATGTGTTTATTGAAAGGTTATCTGTTGTATACCTTGACATTTTGCTCAAATTAGTGTCTCAGTATTAATTACCATATCAAATTCATAGTAATTTATTTCAGGAAGGCAGGTAGAATATGTTTGACGTAGTTAAATTTCATGTGAGATGGGTGCCCTCAGTAAAACTACTCAAGTTCAATTTAGGGATTTGTGCCAAAATAGGACAAGCAGTGAAAAAAATAAAACTATTTTATTAGTAACAGAAAAGCAAAGACAACTTAATTTCAGAGAAATAACAACTGCAACATACTTTGCATGTGTGCATAAGAATATATGCTTCTAGGTGATATGTCGAAGCCAATGAGACATTATTTGGAACCTCAATGAAACCGATTTCAAAATATGTGAGCGGAAACGCAGAAAGAACTGCTTTGAAAGAACTCGAAGAAAGAAGTGCAAGCATACTTTGCAAGTGGTTTTCAGAATTGTGATTTGTTTTGCACTTCTCTGTCACCGTACAGGACAGTTCATGCACTGTAAGTTTGTGAATGCACGGATTGAAATTTTTTTTTTTTAATAATGCAATTTGATTGTGGAAGCATTGCGCATCTTCTACAGTTGGGGATACATACTAAACTGTTACTGGTCCTCAAAATTGTTTTGTATATTTTAGAGACCAACATCTGCTGAAAAGTTATACAAAGTTATTGTAAAAAAGTTTTAAATGTAATTGTTGCACTTTTATGTGTCGCAGGAACAAGAAGTTTGTCTGCAGTCACAAATATCAACATAATTTCATAGAAATAACAGTTGCAACATACTTTGCATGTGTGCATAAGAATATATGCTTCTAGGTGATATGTCGAAGCCAATGAGACATTATTTGGAACCTCAATGAAACCGATTTCAAAATATGTGAGCGGAAACGCAGAAAGAACTGCTTTGAAAGAACTCGAAGAAAGAAGTGCAAGCATACTTTGCAAGTGAGGGGAAACATGCAATATGGATGCAGACAAACTCATGAAGACAATGATTCAAAAATGCTGTGCTACCATCCTTTATAACTATGAGTAACAAAGACAAAATCATTTAATAGAAAAGCTAAGTATAGGGGCTATGTGCGCTATAGGCCTACAGACTGATTTACAACACGTGAATTCATTTATTTATCCCGAAAGAAATGGAAGTGACATGAGTGCCTGGTGAAGAGGGAGAAAAGATGAGTAGCCTTTATAGTTATATATACAATACTCATTTTGTGAAAGAAACACTTCTTCAAATTATATTTCAAAATGATCATTAGGCTTATTGCCGCTTGCCCACTTAAGACATTAGGCCTAATGTGCATTTTTCTTCTTCAAGTTATAGCTAAATGGTTTGCAATGATTAATTTTAGATCTAGATTAAATCAAGGTTTATCTAATAATTCTGTTGCACCAAACTTTAAACCTTTAAAAATAAGCAGGTTTACATTTTAACCCATCATTTTGATCCTGGATTTAAGTTATATTTAAGATGAACATTAATCCTGTTGCACCATAACTTTAAACTCAGATTTAAATCTCAATTATGGATTAAATAATGGTTTAAATAAAATAAAATGCACATGCAAATACAATTCGGAGATTGCTACTAGACGGATCATGTAATTTGTTTTTTTTTTACTTATCTCGGTTCTTTTGTCGTAAATTGTGTTATTGCTCTATTAATTTATACTATCCAGCGCTCCCTGAACGCAGTCTCTGGTTTATTGCCAGTCAAGAGCAAGCACGCTGCAGGGACGCCTCTATAACGACTTTGATCTGATCATAAAGTCTTTCCGAGTCACAGGGCTCAAGTCCAAGTCAAGTCTCAAGCCATTGCTGTCAAAGTCTAAGTCGAGTCTCAAGTCTTCTTTAATTATGTCGAGTTGAGTCGCAAGTCATCAAATTTGGGACTTGAGTCCCAGTCAAGTCTTGAGTCGTGTGACTCGAGTCCACACCCCTGTTATATACTATACATTATGTCGTATTAATTAAAAGACTTTTAGATTACTTATCAGTAGTATTACTCATACCTGTCAACCCTCCTGTTTTTCCCAGGATTCTCCCGTATTTTATTGTTCTATCCCGCTATCATCCCGTTTAAATAGTTTCCTGTATTTCTCACGTATTTTTAATCTTTCTATAAAAAATCCCACTGGGCGTATTTTATGTTTGCTACATTCGCTTCCGGTAAAACTCCCGTAATTTGTGATGGGCCAAACTTGATTATATGAATAATTACGACAACAAATTCCAAGGTTGTCCGGTTGCCAGATCTTGTATGAAATGCATCTTTCTCACACGATCGACGCATACAAATTTCAACCCATTTGTCCCCTCAACTTGGCAACCTACAGCCCAGTGATGCTATTGATATCTTCGCAGGGAGTACCGCGGGAAAGAAACGATGATCACTGTTAGAAATGGGAGGAGAAAACTCAGGTGGTGCTCCAGTGAAAAAAACTAAATATACATTTTTATCTACATGTATAATGAGATATAGCTTACACTTCAAAAGGCTATTTAATTGATTAAATATGAGCGCTGCAAGTTTCAAAGGCAGGTGCTGCGCTGCTTTGTTTACTGCGGTTACCGGGGAAATGGCTATATTCCTGGCGAAAAGCGCCACCTGCTGGCAGAGAATAAATTAGCATTTTTCAATAAGCCCTTCTGCTCTTTTAGACCAAAGCCAAAAACGACCTTTATTTTTACGCAGAAAACAGGCAGTTGTAAATGTGAACTGGTGGATCGACAAGAAGATAATGAATTATAAAACTTATTTAATTAAAAAAAAAATATATATATATTGTACACTAATATATATTTATGTTACTAAATGAATATAGTTGTTTGATAATAATTGTTAAAATTAATATAAATATAATATAATATAAAAATTGTTACTTTTGACTCCACCCCCTCCATAAACCATAATTTGTCTCTCATGAAATCTGTCTAGAAGCTGTGTGATCTTACTACAAAATCCAAAATATTTCACATAAAGAAAACTAAGCCTATTTTTAGGACAATTAATTTTTTTCATTAGTGTAAAAAAGTGTTGCATTGTCTTTAATTTATGCTGATTTAAAATAATAATAGAAACAATATTTTTTTTTTTGCTGTAATCTAGTGAGAATCACCATTGAGAATAATTGGAAATAAATAAATAAAAACTCAAAAGTAAAACATCCAGATGCATTATGTTAATGAAAAAATGTAAGAAAAAAGGGAAATTAGGGAAAATGTACTTAATTGCCATGAAAATAAGGTTTAAATAAAATAAAATGCACATGCAAATACAATTCGGAGATTGCTACTAGACGGATCATGTAATTTGTTTTTTTTTTACTTATCTCGGTTCTTTTGTCGTAAATTGTGTTATTGCTCTATTAATTTATACTATCCAGCGCTCCCTGAACGCAGTCTCTGGTTTATTGCCAGTCAAGAGCAAGCACGCTGCAGGGACGCCTCTATAACGACTTTGATCTGATCATAAAGTCTTTCCGAGTCACAGGGCTCAAGTCCAAGTCAAGTCTCAAGCCATTGCTGTCAAAGTCTAAGTCGAGTCTCAAGTCTTCTTTAATTATGTCGAGTTGAGTCGCAAGTCATCAAATTTGGGACTTGAGTCCCAGTCAAGTCTTGAGTCGTGTGACTCGAGTCCACACCCCTGTTATATACTATACATTATGTCGTATTAATTAAAAGACTTTTAGATTACTTATCAGTAGTATTACTCATACCTGTCAACCCTCCTGTTTTTCCCAGGATTCTCCCGTATTTTATTGTTCTATCCCGCTATCATCCCGTTTAAATAGTTTCCTGTATTTCTCACGTATTTT